AGACCCTGTTTCAGAGGAGAATGGTGAAGGGATGGGTCCACAAGATAAAACAAGCATAAACCTGCATCCAGCGAGAGAGTTCCCTTCAGTGTTGTCTGCTAAACTCGGAGGAGGAAGGGAGTGCTGGTAGAGAACTCGATTTTAAAGAGGAAGATTTGGCAGGACAGAAGTGAACGTTCTAGATCTGATCGATTCCAGTGCTTTCCGTGGTCTGGTGTGAGGAAGCCTGAGGCTTTGTCAGTCTACAGCATCATTTGTTCAGAACTGTGCAGGTCTGCAGTGCTGGGGACCACTTGTCTTTTAAAGTGTATCTATATGGTAAATTTTGTTTATGAAACAGACTTTATCTGTTATTGGGAATCTGATATTCGCCGTTCTTAAAGGGATAATCTTGGAAGCCAGTAATGACTATGTGAAAATAATGTGTTCTTACCCAGTTCTCGTATGTAACAGGCACTGATTCTGCTGGCAGCCATTGGGTTTCCTTGGTGGTCCTTCCTAGCAGCTGGCCAGCCTGAGTTTGGCCTCTAGTTTTACTTCCTGCTTCTCTTTCTCAGTGAAGTCTGGTTTGCTTTTCAGGATGACATGAGATAGGAGAACACCCAAGTCATGTTGCCCAGGCCTGCCTTGTGACTTGTTTTCTTACTGATCTGTAATGGCTTTCCTTGTTGCATTTTTATAGTGGTGTTAATGTTTTTAAGTTTTGTAGTTACAATTGATGAGCTTTATTATATATTCTTCCATATTCACTTCAGTTCCCCTGTTTTTAATTCTTTTCATTTGTTTACTCAACAAACCAATTACTAAAGAAATTAGAGCCAGCCACTCTGTAGGGAACTGAGATGCTACAGAGTCATGACTGTTGTGGTTGTTTTTACTCTGGGGGGCCCACCACCTAGCTCCAAGAAAAGTCATTTATGGGGGCTCATTCTTAGTTATGAATGCCTGACCTTAGCTAGGCTTGCTGCTAGTCAGCTTTTCTTAAATTATCCCAGCTACTTTTTGCCTCTGGGCCTTTTCCTTTTCTTCTTTTGTCTTATCTTCAGTCTTACTCCATGGTTGGCTGGGTGCTTGGCCCCTGATGTCCTCTTCTTATTCTCTTGCTGCTTCTTCTTCCCAGATTTCTTCTTTTATTTATTCTCTTTGCCTGCCAACACTGCCTGTCCTTGCTCCTGCTTCGCTATTGGCCATTCAGCTCTTTATTGGATCATCAGATGTTTGTTTGTTTGTTTATTTGCTTATTATGTATACAATATTCTGTCTGTGTGTATGTCTGCAGGCCAGAAGAGGGCACCAGACCTCATTCCAGATGGTTGTGAGTCACCATGCGGTTGCTGGGAATTGAACTCAGGACCTTTAGAAGAGCAGGCAATGCTCTTAACCACTGAGCCATCTCTCCAGCCCCCGGATCATCAGATGTTTTAGACAGGCAAAGAATCACAGCTTCACAGAGTTAAACAAATGCTGCATAAACAAAAGTCACACACCTGAAAATAACATTCTTCAACATCTGACCTCTGGGGGCTGACTTTCCAGTGGAGGAAAGACAGTGAACACTGACAGTATGTTGGTGATATGTCTATGCAATGTAGATACTTATATTGTATATGTGGGGTATGCTGCGTATGACGTGAGGATTTCAGATCTGGCTCTTGGTTTTGCACAAGTGAGGCCTTCATAGGTCCTCAGACCATTTACAGAGGCAACAGAAACTGGGCTCCCATGCTTTCCATTGGGGTTTTAGCTAATTCCTAATTGTGGCCCTTGGGAGCTCAGCTATGCCCAGCAGAAATAGTCAGTCATATTCTTGAAAATAAGTGTCTTAGAGTCTGCTTTTCTCCTCTACCATTGTGTTCCAGGAAGTGCTGAAGATGACCTCAGCTGACTAAGGTAAAATTCAGGGTGTCCCCTTAGCCAGTCAGCTGTAGTTCTGTACACTTTCCTGTGTTTCTGGGTACGTCTTAGGGTCTCTGTTGCTGTGGAGACACCATGACCATAGTAGCTCTTAACAAGGAAAACATTTAACTGGTTAATTGGGTGGCTCACCGTTCGGAAGTTAGGTTCATTATCATTGTGGTGGGACATGGCAGTGTGCAGGCAGATATGGTACTGGAAAAGGAGCTGAGAGTTATATATCTTGATACACAGGCAACAGGAAGTGAACTGAGACACTGGGTGTGGCTTGAATATATAAGACCTCAAAGCCCACTCTCACAGTGACACACTTCCAGCAAAATCACACCTATTCCAACTAAGCCACACCTCCTAACAGTGCCACTTCCTAGAGCTTATGGGAGCCAGTTACATTCAGACTATGGCAGGGTTGGGTGGGAGCTGGGGGGGGGGGACTGCTGTGCTGGAGTTTTTGTAGAGATAATCTTTTACTAATGGAACTTCTATGCTTTACTTTATAGATGTAGATTGTTACTGTAGCACTTGTTTAACCCACTTTTCTATGCTAAGGTAGTATATGAATAAGCTGTTCTTGTACCCTGTGCATTTGAGAATTCTCTTTGCATATATATATATATATATTTGGTTTTTCGAGACAGGGTTTCTCTGTAGCTTTGGTGCCTGTCCTGGAACAATCACTTGGAGCTAGAGTGTGGGTGCTAGGAACCAAACGTATTGTCAGAATGTATCTTGAATATATTATTTTTAGAAAATATTACAAGCATTTTACCTCATTAATTGTAGTTTTTTATCTTCTCGCCTTTACATGTAACTGTGATGTCTTTGCCCTAGAATTGCTTGTCTCTGTTTTTTTACTTTTGTGGCTTATTTGCTTGTTTGGTATTGGACCCAGAAGAGCCTGTGCCCAGTTCTCTGTCTAGTCTTTTTTTTTTTTTTTTGGTTTTTCGAGGCTTCGCTGTGGCTTTGGTGCCGATCCCGGAACTAGCTCTTGTAGACCAGGCTGGCCTCGAACTCACAGAGATCCGCCTGCCTCTGCCTCCCGAGTGCTGGGATTAAAGGCGTGCACCACCGCCCAGCCTCTGTCTAGTCTTTTGACATTACATTGATGAATGCATTTTATGGTTGTAGGATCTAAAGACCATTTAGAAAATACAGAAATGAGCCTGGCGGTGGTGGCGCACGCTTTTAATCCCAGCACTTGGGAGGCAGAGGCAGGCGGATCTATGTGAGTTCGAGACCAGCCGAGACCAGCCTGGTCTACAAGAGCTAGTTCCAGGACAGGCTCAAAAACCACAGAGAAACCCTGTCTCGAAAAAAGCAAAAAAAGAAAAAGAAAATACAGAAACGTTTAAAGACAGTTAAACTGAGCGTGGTGGGGCATGCCTGCCTGCAATCCCAGGCATTCAGAAGACCGAGTGCTGGAGGAAGGGAGGTGGGAGGGGGAGAGGTGCACACATAGCCATGCCCCAAGTTTTTCACATGGATTCTGGGATCTGAACTCCACAGTCTTCATGCCTGTCCATCTCTTCATGCCTCTTGAATATTTGGTCATCTCTCAAAACCATTCCCTACCCCAATTTATGAGACAGTGTTTCATGTCTCCCATGCTGACCTCACTGTAGATGAGGGTGACTCTCCTTAGTCTCTCACCTATACTTCCAAGTGCTGGGGTTATAGGTGTGTGCTACCTAACCTGGACTGTACTGTGTGGGGTCGAACCCAGGGCTTCATGAGCTCTAGCCTTGCCCTCAAAGTTGGTATTGACCTTTTATGATTAAGCAAAACAAAATTATTTTAGATTTCTGCTTTCTTTTAATATTTATTTATTTATTATGTATACAATATTCTGTGTGTATGCCTGCAGACCAGAAGAGGGCACCAGACCTCATTCCAGATGGTTGTGAGCCACAATGTGGTTGCTGGGAATTGAACTCAGGACCTTTGGAAGAGCAGGCAATGCTCTTGACCTCTGAGCCATCTCTCTAGCCCCCTAGATTTCTGCTTTTTAAACTATAATTATTTCATTATTCTGACTATGACTATGCTCAACCATCATAGCTTCATTGTTTTCTTTGAGCGCTCTCTTCAGGAACTGGTAATGGTGTTACTTAGTTACATAGTATTTTTAAAGCTTTGTAGCCATTTGTAAATTTCCTGAAAACCTTAAAAGATGGAGAAGGAATGCTAGCTCTGCTGGTAATTTAATTAGGCATCTTCAGGGGGTAGCCGACAGTTTTCTTACCTAAAATTACTAAGCTATAGCTTACCTAAAATTACTAAGCTATAGCTGGTTGGTCATGCCTGTAGTCTTTATCCTCAGAAGGCTGAGGCAGGAAGATTGATGGAAGTTTGAGGCCAACGTAGGCTATAGGGAATAAACAAAACAAAACATAAAACCCACGGCTCCAAGTTCTTTGTGGACTTTGACTCATTCTCACTCATGGGGTTTCGACATTTTTTTGAGGTCTTGTAACTGGGCCCTGATTTCTATATCTGCGGCCTTGTGCTCTTCAGGTGGAATCAGGTGTGAAGTTTGTAGTCAGTTCTGTCGGTGCCCAGGCCCTATTCTTTGAAAATTGGATTATGTCCTTTAAATCTGGCTTGAGACTAAATTTGACTTGTGACCATTACAGAATTCCGAGTATTCTTGGTTTCTTACTGCAGTTTTTCTTATACTCTAATTTTTATTGTTCTTTTATTTATTGTTAAGTTGTTCTATTTTAAATCTATCCTAATCATCATTTATAGTCTTTTGAATCACAATTTCTCCCTGTAACAGCCCTGACTGTCCTGGAACTCACTCTGTAGACCAGGCTGGCTTTGAACTCACAGAGATCTGTCTGCCTTTGCCTTCCAAGTGCTGGGATTAAAGGTGTGCGCCACCAAGCTCAGCTACTTAATCTTTTCTGATTACTAGTTACCAATTTAAAATATTCAATATTTGAATAGATGTGTGAACTCTTTGATCCTGTAGTGAGGACTGAAGCATTCAGTGGAGTCTCGTGGCCACAGTGAAGTAGATTGGCTTTTTTGTCACCTTTGTAAATAATCATTACGTTCTCACGATGCATTTCTTCCTTTTCTAGTGGAAGAGAAAGCCAATACCTACCTTCTCCTCGGCATGTGCTTGGACTCTTGTGCACGCTATCTGCTATTCTCCAGGCAGCTGTCACAGGCACAAAGAATGTATGAAAAAGCCCTGCAGATTTGTCAAGAAATACAAGGAGAAAGACACCCCCAGGTAAAGGAGGAAGGCCGTTCTGAGGAATAGTGTGTGTAAGCCAGGCCTGGTGGTGCAGCTTTGAAGATGGGCCTTAAGGTCACAGGCTCAAGGCTGTGGCCAAATTAGTGAGATCCCATGTTAAAAGGAGAAAGAGACAAAGGGTTGGGAAGAGTGGTAGAGTAGCTTGCCTAGCATCGGTGAGGCTCTAGATTCAGAGCCTAGGATCAGTTACCAGTGCGGCCAGGCTGAACAGTGGTGAGGGTATAAGGTTTACATGCAGTCTGCTCACTTTCTTTGCACCAGCTCACCGGCTCACTATTCCCAGCCACTACTTGTTTCAAGGAGGGTTTGATATTGTTGGTCAGTCACTGGCTCTGTGAAGACCCTTTTATATGAGCCATGGTGGTTTACACAGCAGTTTTTATACAGGACAGGTCTAACCAAGTGTGTGCTTTCAAAGCTTCAGAATATGCAGTCTCGTGTTTCACAGGGGCCACAGACTCCTAGTGAAAATCTTATTTTTTTTTTTTCCCTCCTGGTGCTGGGGAGTAGACCCAGGGGCTTTGTACTGGCAAGTGCTCTACCCCTGACCTGAGTCTCCGCACACCAATTAGAAGCAGTACCATAGCCGGACTGTGGTGGCACACACCTTTAATCCTAGCACTTGGGAGACAGAAGCAGGCGAATCTCTGTGAGTTTGAGGCCAGCCTGGTCTACAGAGCTAGTGCCAGGATAGGCTTCAAAGCCACAGAGAAACCCTGTCTTTAAAAACCAAAACCAGGGGCTGGAGAGATGGCTCAGTGGTTAAGAGCATTGCCTGCTCTTCCAAAGGTCCAGAGTTCAATTCCCAGCAACCACATGGTGGCTCACAACTATCCATAATAAGGTCTAGTGCCCTCTTCTGGCCTGTAGACATACAGACAGAATATTGTATACATAATAAATAAGTATTTAAAAAAAAAAAAAACAACCAAAACCAAACAAGAAGCAGTACCATAACCACTGCATTACAGAACTTTCTTCCGTATCAGTCAGAACCTTATAAGTAAATGTTAGTTAATATGAGTATCTTTGCCTCCTGTGTTACTATGGGAGGTGAGGAAATAGGAACTTTAATTTTTTTTCTTTTTGGCAGGACTAAGGATTAAACCTAGGGTCTCATAAATTCAAGGCAAGGGTTCTACCACTGACTGATCCATGGCTATAGTCCTTAAAAATCAACTTTTAAGACCACTATTACAGAACTTTATATGGTTTTTCAAAGCAGGCAAAACAAAGCCTTGTTAGAATACTAAATGCAGAATTTAGATCATCTCTTCTGGCAAAATACATTCTTCGGCTAAAGAGTAGATGCCTTGTCTGAATGCCTGCAGCCCACCATATAGAACAAATGAGACTGAACATGGAATATTTAGGACTTAATTTAGATAGTCTGAATGAAATTTGGAGCACCAGCTACCTCTTTCTCGGTTTCAAAGTCCAGGTGATGTGTTTCTCCAGGGGTGGCGGTCGTGGCAGAACGCTGCTGAGATGCAGGGAGGTGCAGACGCACTCCCCAGTGCTGCCTCCCACCCCTGCTCTAAGTCCACAACCTTCCAGAGCAGAATGTGGATCAACAGGTGCCTGCAGTTTGCCCCCTCTAATTCTGAGGAATCCTTATAAAGTTGAAGACTGTGTGTCTGTGGGTGCAGTGTTCTAACCTTCAGGTTAATGTTCTGTGTTGGTGTATTTTTTAAAGAAAAGGATGCTTTTTCTTCTCCTAGACCATTGTGCTGATGAGTGACTTGGCTACTACTCTGGATGCACAGGGCCACTTTGAGGATGCCTACATTTATATGCAGAAGGCATCAGATCTGGCAAGAGAGATCAATCACCCTGAGCTGCACATGGTGCTCAGCAATCTGGCTGCCATCTTGATACACAGAGGTAGGTAGAGCGGAAACAGACTGCCTTCTCAGAAAAGCATTGCTGGGCTTTGAAGTGAAACAATTTTGGGGAGGGCAAATGGCAATGAAGAAAACCCTAAATCAATGGTTCTCAAACTGTTGTCACCCTGTTGGAAATATCCCTTTACAGGATCACCTGAGACTACCAGAAAACACAGATTTATATCACAAATCAGTAGCAAAATTACAGTTAGAAAGTACAAGTAATTTTGTTGTTGGGGGTCACCACATGAGGAATTAGGAAGGTTGAGAGCCACTGCCCTGGGTTAAAAGGTTGGCTAAATAAGGGCAGAAAATGCATTTGTTTTAATGTACTATTTGCTTACTTAACACAATTTCCACAACTTTGCACGACAATGTGAAGGTAGAGAATACTTTGCAGGCACAGGTTCTGTCTCTGTAGTACTTCACAGGTACAGTTCCTCAGTGCTCTGAAGCCTCAGTATGATATAGCATTATCAGTTTCCTGCTAGTCCATATTACTCAGGTTTCCATAAACTTGGGGTTATTGCCTCTGTTGCATACAATTGTGAAATCTTTGCCCGAGGGTGATTCCACAGCACTAAGTACCTAGAGCTGACACCTACTCTAGCTCATCTTCTCGAAACCAGTTGTCAGTAAACCAAACACACATCCTCACGAGGAGTGGGTTCTCTTCAGTCACTCTGAAAACACGTATTTTCTTCTCCCCTTTCTTTGGGTTATTTTAGAACGATACACACAAGCAAAAGAGATCTTCCAGGAAGCACTGAAGCAAGCAGAGATGAAAAGAGATGAGGTTTCTGTACAGCACATCAGGGAAGAATTGGCTGAGCTGTCAAGAAAAAGTAGACTTTTGACCTAATTTTGTTAAGCTATGTAAGTTCGTTTTGTTGTAGAGAAGGTGATCTCTGGTAGCCCAAAGGAGTGATGTTCTTCCATGTCTGGATCTCAAGCGGTGGTGTGAATCATTGTTGGAATTCAGCTTTCTTCAACTCAACCTCGCTGAAGGACAAGTATACACTGCCACTTTTATTTCTAAATTTAGTTTACTTTGAGATGGGCCTCCAACTTGGAGTCCTCCTGCCTCAGTCCCCCAAGTGCCGGGACTGTGCCTGGCCCTACTTGTGTGTGTAAAGTTGCAGCAGCTTCTATCCTGTACTGACAGTAACTTACGAGAGCTTGGTGTGAAGTGCCGCTTCCCAGTGCAGCGTGGGAGAGGCCATCCATCTGGTCTGTGAAAACTGTAGACTCTTAGGTGGCCACATTCTCCACGGTGTGGTCATTATACTTTGCCTAAGATTTTGGTTCCTGCTTTCTCTTCTCTATCCATTTCTGGCAACCAAGTTACTTGTCTGATGGCACAGGAAGATTTTGGTGAGTTCTTTTATAGTCTTTTAATGAAGCATTGCAAAATTTAGTCAATATGGGGGAGATAATAATTCTAGTTGGCCTCCAGTAAGCAGCATTCACTTCTGAAGTGGAAATTAGGCACTTTGTCACCCGTCTGGGCAGTGGGCTTCCTTTACAGCCAGTCCCACGGTATGTCGAGCTGAACCCGTAACAATACTGACAGCACGGATGGATGCCGTTGGCAGTGTAGAACCACTGGCCTGGATCCTACTTAGCAGCACTGGCTATTTTGCAATCTCTGTATTCACGCCTGTTAAGTGGGAAACCAATTAGATTCTTGGTCTGATGACTTGAATCTACTATCAGGCATTAAAAAACTTAGTCACTGCCTCAGAGTACACAATACACAATTGGATGCCTTTACCTCTCCAGCCTGGCAGATGTCCATTGCCTGAGAGAGAAAAGATGATAGGTTTTCTGGGTGCCCTGAAGGAACAGGTGGTGTTGGCATCCCGGTGGAGGTCGGTGACGTGAGCAGGACGGGCCAATGGGATTTTGGTTCCTATGTTTGTACTGGGAGAATCTGCATAATAAACTAGAGGCTATACAATATTGTATGTATTCTAATAATCTTTGAATCATAGAAAAATAACTGAGTTATAACTGATTAAGGCCCAGGTCCTCAGGCCCAGGTCCTCAGAAGTAAACCAGAATTGTGTGTTATGCAGGGGAGTTCTGACATTTCCATCTGTGCTCATTTACCACTTACTCCCCGGCTAATGTGATCCCATCAGTGAAGAATAACAAGAGATTGCAGTCACCTTTGCTTTGAGAATGTTTTACTATTTCATAATTCCAGAGTTACCAAAAGTAAAGTCTTAGGATTTTTAATCCTCTGTGGTGATCCACCTCCTGGTCCTGTGGTGTGGCTGGGAGACTGTAGTTCTCAGATAGACGGTCCAAGGTGCATGTTCCCGGAACACTCATTTGCACTGTTATAAAAAAAGGCAGTGAGACAGAGGGACTGATCTCCTTTTACTGATTACAACTTTAAACAATTTACATTTAATTTCATTTGAACTACACCATGTTACTGGAGTTGTCAGGGCATAAGGGTATGTAAGACAGAATCACAGCATATGAAAATTTAAAGTGTAGTATAAAATTTCTCACTAAATAGACTGGAAAATTGTCAGAATATTACCTCTACTGGAAGACCTTGATTTAGTTGTATGTGCATGTGTTATATAGTGTTGGCCCACAAAAAATGCTATGCTACACTTTGACTTGCGGCTGACTTCCTAAGTCTCAGTGCCTGCTTCCTCCCTTAGTCTCACAGTAAGGCGTACCTCCCTCTCTAGGTAAACTCTGAGGATTCTGTTCTAGTTTTGAATTAAGAAATTATACTGGACGTCATGTTATAATGTGGTGAGCATGGGACAGTCGTCTAGGCTGATCTAAACTGAACCCAACCTGGAACAGTGAAAGACCCTCAGGGTCAGTCCTCATCATCATTTATGACTTACTATTACTGGAACTTCGGGTGGTGGTGGGGCTTTAATCAAACTTTAGTCTTTGTTATGTTCCTGACTATTGTAAAGGTACACTTTGGACACTTGCAAACTTTACAGGTATTAAGAATTCTGTCTCATTGTAGCTTTGGCTGGCCCAGAACTCACCTTCTAATCCAGGCTAGCCTTATACTTTTAGTGATTTGTCTGCTTCTGCTTCCCAAGTGCTGAGATTAAAGGTGTACGCACGCTACCATGCATGGCTAAAGTTTAAGATCTCAAATGTCTGTCTTTATTACTTGCTAAGTTATATGGGCAAATTTGAGCCTGTGTCTCCATCTATAAAAACAAAGGGGGGTGGGGATTAGAAACCAGTGGTCCAGATGCTAAGCGGGGCTCAGGCAGTGGTTCTTGAGACTTTCTCCTGTCTAGTTCTCAGTGGCATTATCCCCAAACCACTAAGTGTCTGTATGCAGTGGAAGAAGCATGTACACCATGATAAAGCTGTGTGAAAACAAATCTAAAAACACACCAAGTAATTTTTAATAAAAACGTGATCCTCCAGTACCATAATTTAAAATTCAGTCTTTAAATTACTTGCACCTTGAAAACACTTTACTCGTGTTCTGTAGAAGCAGAGTAGGCGCTGATGCAGATAGGAAAGGACTTGTGTTCATTGGTTAGTTCAGGATGCAGCATAAAACAAGCCTGGAAGACCAAGGTTCTGTACAGATTGTTATCTTTTTAACTCAGCCAGATATGTATCAAAGAAAAGTAAAGTTTCTTGTTTGAAACCTGAGACACGAAGACTCTGAAGTCACAAATGATGTACTGTAGCTATGGACAGGATAGTCAAATTTATTTCAGAAGAAAAGCTTTGTTGGGCTGCATCAAATGCAGAATACTTAGGGGCATGGTTAAATTACCAGTGTGCATAAACATTGAGGTATGCCTCAAATAAGCCTTTAAACTTTAAAACTGAACTCTAACATACCCATGCAGTAAGTTTGTTTTCAGTGCTACTAATGACAGCAAAGCCTGCACTGGAAACTCACAATGACGTTCTGCGCTCCTGCCCTGTGACCTCATTCAGCCTTTATGACAGGGTATGTGGTAAAAACCTAAACATTTTCACAAGATTTACCGGGGAAAGTTGAATTTAGAGGAAACGAAATACAATGCCCATGACAGCCAGTACTGTATAACTGTGCTGTGTGAGGTTGTTTAGAAGGCTGGGGTTAAAAAGATAGACAAAAAATTTAAAAAATTACCCCCAGTGTTGATGTGCTGATTTAAATTTAAGTACACCAGAAACTACAGCAAGGGGGATACACTGCAAAAAGGTTCTATTTACAGAAGAGTGATTTAAAGACATCATGGTTTCCTTTACAAACAGGAATTGTCCACTTTAAAAAAAACTCTACACTTAACCCTTCCCTGTTATAATCCATTGAATTGCCTGTATTAGAGGCAGGGTGGTTCTGTTTTTTTCCCATTTGATTTTCCAAATGAATTTCCATCATTTCTTCTTCATCTGTGGCCCTGGCTCTCCTGAGAAGTCTCTGGGCACAAATCATAGGAGGGCAGAAATTTTTTAATCTGCAGTTAAAATCAGAGCCAGAGTTTCTTCCTATGCACAGGTCAGTCGTCACTGTCAGACAGTGTCTCATATTGCGCTGAGAGCAGCGGGGCAGGTTCCCGCTCCCAGATGCGGTTCTGTTGATGAGGAGCTGCTTGGTTGATGGCAGGGGGGGCACACGCAATTGGTGTTGGAGGTGTGCTGCTGAGCATCCGCAGGGTCAGAGGGTTGTAGGGGAACTGAGTAGAACCTGACAAAAGGAAAATGAGATTTTAGTGTCATTAGCATCCAATGCGATATTTACAGAAGGAACAGAGCAGGAGTATTACAGTAAATGGTCTTGTGATGCCTTGACTGGTTTAATTCTCAAAAGGATAAATAACACAAGTAACACATGGGTAGGGATAAGAAGTCTGTGCTATCTCATCATGGATCTCCACGGGGAATCCAGATAGAGAGTTCTATCTGGAGGAGCCTAGCGATATGAGTAACTTTCCAGTAGAAATGCAGTTCTCAGCACATGGCGAGTGCCAAGGAGCTTTAGCCAGGCTGTGTGACCTCTCTACAGTCTCACTAGGCTGACTTAAATGTGTATGAGATTTAAAATTGAACACCATTTTCTTTTCCATTTCTAGATTGCTTAATTGTTCTTTCCCCACAGTTCCTCCTCCTATCATTGTAAGCCATAAAACATGCATTTTATCAAGTCCTCTAATATCTAATAAAAAAATTATTTCCCTAAAATAATGGAACAAAGGAGGTGGGAAAACGGCTGGGTGAAGGAAAGAGAGCAGGGGAAGAAGACAGCCAGAGGGAGGGGCCCAGGCAGGAAAGGAGGAGAACGAAGTACACATTCGTGTGAGGATGCAATGACATAACACTGCTGTCCGCTGACCTACCCACTAACGTGTGCATTGCTTCCGTGGGAGATTTCTAACGCATAAGCCTTTTTACACATGGCAATAGAGGTTTAACAGACAGACCTTGAAGTGTATAGATACAATAACTATGAAATTGTTAGGCATGCAGGGGAAGGTCTCATTTCAGATTTGGGAGTGGGGAATGCATAAGGGAAAGAAACACATAATTCAATCTCTAAAATCAACAGCAGATATGCCAATTTTATTTTTTAATCTTCCTTTCAAAAACATGGTTATTTTTTAAAGCATATTTAATTCTTGTTTGTATTGTGTATGATATGTGTTGGGCATGCTTGTGCCATAATGTAGGTGGAGGTCAAAGGACACTTTTGGGGAAATGATTCTCCTCTGCCACCTTTATGTAGGTGGATTAAACTCAGGCCATTGGGCCTGCAGTTCCTTTACAGTAAAGACATTTCATCACCTCACTGACCCGCTCGAGTTATGTTTTTAAAGATCTCCCACACATGCATGTGAGATATTGAGGAGATGTAAACCTACAGGCGTGCTGGCATTGTTACAACATTGTGTTTCCTACTTTGGATTCTGATTTCTTAGTTAAAAGCTAAACATGAGAGACATTTTGGGTCTGGATAAAGTTCACGGAAGAGCTGAATCCAGACTTATTTGCAATTCCTGGTTACCAACCAGCATAGTACAGAGATGGCAATGAATGGATCACATAAATATAAATGTTCTTGTGAAAAGTAGATCCAAGTAATGATAGAGAAAACTATAGTTTTGCTGGGCAGTGGTAGTATTCAGGAGCCAGAGGCAGGCGGATCTGTGTGAGCTTGAGGAGAGCCAGAGAAACCCTGTCTCAAACGCACACACATGAAAGGAAGGGAAAGAAGAGAAGGAAGGAGAGAAAACTACATAACATGGAATTCACAAGCGGGTAATATTAACAAGTGCTGACACAAAATGAATCTCCTCAACACTGCCCACCTGTTGAAGAGGGCCTGTCTTCCCAGGCCCATCCTGGTGTCTGCCTGTGGTAATCACCTTCTGAATGTACAGAGGAGACTGAAGAAGGCCGCTCAGTTCCTAAGTAGCTTTGCCCAGGAATAGGAGATTTAGACTTCCGGCTATTTGATTTGTTGATCAGTTTAGGTTTGCATACTCCTGAAAGTGAAATTCAAGTTACTATATTAACTACTGATAAATAATTTAACTTCTCAGTGACAGCAACAGTGCCTACCGAAATGCTGGTTATAATGCCAAGTGAAAAACCAAAGTGGCAGCACGAAGGATCCTGTGCTCAACTAAAGTCGGAGCGGTCTGTAAGGCAGAGGTAGGCACATCACCCTATAAACTTAAGAACGTGGTAACGAAGGACACCCTGCTGGCCTCCGTGTAGGTAATGGTAATAAACATCTGCTTCCCTTTGCCCCTGCCTCCACCTCAATTTAAAAGAAGCAAGTAGAGGACTTAGGCCACTGGAAGTAAAGGATAGGCCATAGCAGATACTCTTCAAGTCTCACTGGCTCTTTCTAGTTCCTCCAATGACTGGGCTCTATGACTAAATATTAAATATTTAAAGAAGCCACTTAGCACATTTTTCTCTCAGCCCCAGAAGTTTTACCCTACCCAGTTGTACAC